GGTGATGATATCGATGGTATTCTTTGCCTTAAACAGTTTCTTAGCCATCATTTCGAGATGAAAGCCCTTGGTCCTCTCAGCTATTTCTTGGGTCTTGAAATCTTCCATGATTCCACGGGGTCTTTTCTCTCTCAGGCTAAGTATACCTCTGATCTTCTCACCCGCGCTGGTCTTACGGATTGCAAGACTGCCTCCACTCCCCTGGAGTCTCAGAGTCGTCTTACACCTCTTGATAGCACTCTTCTCTTTGATGCTACCCTATATCGTCAGCTGGTTGGCAGCCTTGTCTATCTCACTGTTACTCGTCCTGATATTGCCTATGCCGTTCATATTGTCAGCCAGTTTATGTCCGCTCCTCGGACCCCTCATTATGCTGCATTAGTTCGTATCCTTCGTTATCTCAAAGGTACCTTGTTTCATGGACTTCATTATTCCGCCCGCTCCTCTCTCCAGCTTCGTGCTTTTTCTGATGCTGATTGGGCTGGGGATCCTACTGACCGGCGCTCTACTACCGGGTTCTGTTTTTTCTTGGGTAATTCTCTTTTTTCTTGGCGCAGCAAGAAACAATCTCTTACTGCTCGCTCCAGCACTGAGGCTGAATATCGTGCTCTTGCTGATACTACTCAGGAACTTCTCTGGCTTCGTTGGCTTCTTGCTGACATGGGTGTTTCCCCCTCTGGCGCTACTGCCCTCTTTTGTGACAATCAAAGTGCTCTTCAAATTGCTCACAATGATGTTTTTCATGATCGCACCAAGCACATTGAGATTGACTGTCATTTTGTTCGTCAACACGTCACTCATGGTACTGTCCATCTCCATCCCATCTCCTCTGTTGATCAACCTGCTGATATCTTCACCAAAGCCCATTCTCTTGGCCGCTTCGTTGAACTTGTCTCCAAACTCCAGTTGGTTGATGTTTGTCCTCCTTGAGTTTGAGGGGGGCTGTTAATATATAAATATAATTGTATATAATTGTATATGAATACAATATAAGTTATTAATATATTATAGTGACAGCATAGGATTCCCTTTCGGTGGTGCGCCATCTTTCGGCCACTTTTTTCCTTATTATATTCCATGGTATCATCATCATGTTTGTGTAACAAACTCCTATATTAAGGAGCCTCGTAGCAAGAATTCAATACACAGAGAGTTTACATTACAATTCTCTTTCAATATTACTCTCTCAATTTGTCTTTCATAATTTGTCTTTCAATATTTGTCTTTCAGTGGTGATAATCTCAATACACAATCATAATCACGCGGTTGGAAGTCCATTGAAGTGAGAACATGAATTCATGTCCTCGTACACTAATGCACTTTTAGCAGTGCAAAATAGTGTGATGAATATCAAACGAATCTTGAGACACGCGCGCACGAATCTTGAAAACAAAGGTGGTGTTTGGAAAGTGTTGTTTTTGCTTTTTTGTGAAAAAAAAAAAAAAAAAAATTTACTAAAAAACAAAATTAGTTAAAAAATTAAAAAAAACAAATTCAGATAAAATGTCACATCAAATTCATAATCATTTCACTTTTTCTCTCACAAACATCACATTCAATTATAAAAAAAATCTAACTATCTTTTTCAAACATAAAAATTTTAACAAAAAATCAAAAACTAAAAAAACTTACTAAAATAACTTCCCAAACACCCTCAAAAGATCCCATCATGATATATCTTTTCTAACCTACATGGGCAAGTAGGAGTTAGGTTTTGCTGAAAAATTAAATTAAAAAAAAAACTACAAGGAAAGCAAAAAACCAAAGAAAAGGGGAAAAATAAAAGATAAAAAATAAAAAAAAATAAACATTATCATCATAGTTGGATTGGCATGGTCATCCATAGGGCCTGTTAATCTAGAAGAGGGTGGAGTAGCATTGGAGAAGAATGGGGAGTGATTAAGACCCCTCCAATCACCACCCCCACCACTACAAGCATTTTCCTATGGCACCACTACAAGATAATAAAGCTAAAATCACAAACCATTCTTCTATTTACACATAAATTAATTATAGACTTAGATACAAATCTCTCACATGACGTGAGACTTATCAAAATGTAAAGTATTTCCCGTGAAATGATTGTATCCAATTCTGTGATATGAATTTGTGTGCCTAAACTTTTTCAACCACAAAACTACACATAGAAGTCTGCACTATCATTTAATTATAGACTTAGATACAAATCTCTCACATGACGTGAGACTTATCAAAATGTAAAGTATCTCACGTGAAATGGTTGTATCTAATTCTGTGATATGAATTTGTGTGCCTAAACTTTTTCAACCACAAAACTACACATAGAAGTCTGCACTATCATTTGGGAAAAGAAAAGATTACAAGTTAGAAAAAGCATTATTAGAAAAGTGACCAACCTTGCAATAATTTGCAGATGAGATATATCACCCACACCAACAAACCAATCTTCCTCCACCAAGCCCTTTGCTAAGGAAAAATAATCCTATCAAAAACTTTTTTGCAGATTCATTGGATTTCCCAAACAGAACTTAAGAGATCTTCCCAAATATTCAAAAGACAAAGTGGTTTGCTCTCATTAGGTTGACAAAACAAGCGAGTGCAGTACAAAGTTCACAAGGACAATCTTTTCCTTTCCCCCAAACAGTATATGATGAAATGCCAGAAAAGAAAAACAGTGCCAACGAAGGCTGTTTTCTTCTTTTAACAAAAAGAACAAGTTGAAAAAAAGCTAGCACTAAACCCTACGTTTCCTCAAATCCACAAAAAAATAATAATAATAAAATATACATTAGAGGCAATGCAAAAAGTGGGTTATTTTCTTTGCATGAGCAGAGAAGTGGGATTCTCTCAAGAATCCAAAACCCAAGAAAAAGAAATTCAGAGTTCAGACAACTTGAAGAATCATGACCTCTACGTCTTTTCCTCTCTATCTCTACCTCCATGCACAAGAATTTAAGGTCCCGTTTATTTTGTGATAGATCATAGGGATTGATAGTGAGTGGATTAATAGTGAGGGGATTGTTAGTGAGGGTCATTTATTTTCAGAGATAGAATGGAGGGGATTGATAATGAGGGGATTAATAGTGAGGGGATTGTTAGTGAGGGAATTGATAGTGAGGAGATTAATAGTGAGGAATTGTTAAATTATTTTTATATAAAATAATAAAAAAATAAAAAAATTGAACATTAATATTTTAAAAAAAAATTCCCAATATATAAAAAATAAAAAAAAATGAAAAAATTTCTAATCCGCTCACTATTTTTCTAATATCATCTCTACCTCCTCACTATGAATCCTCTCCACAAGGGTATTAGTAATACCAAGGTATTAGTAGTACCCTCCCTATCTCTCAAAACAAACAAGGTATTAGTTAGTCCCAAGGTATTAATAGTCCTAAGGCTATCTCTCAAAACAAACACCCCATATACTAATCCCAAAATATTACTAATCCTAATCTCTTTGTTATAACCCCAAACAAATGGAGCCTAAGACTCGCAATCAAAAAGCAAAAGTAAGTACAAGGGCTGGCTTCCTCCGGTCCTTGATCGAAATGATTAAAGGTATGGTTGAATTCGTGAGTTATTACGAGTTATGTTTTAATAATTTAAATTATTTAATATATAAAATTTATCGAGTATTATATGATTATAAAAAATTATATTGATCAGATATTAATAATTATATGATTAAAATAGTTTTGTATAAAAAAAAGATGATAAAAAAATAAATAATTCATATAAAACTAATTTAAACACGTAACTGACATTATCCGATCAATTTATTTTTTATAAAAATAATATACTCAACAAATAAATTCTCAAAACAGATAGTGAGGGGATTAAGTAAAATTATGTTTGTTTTGATGATAGTTGTTAGTGTAGGAATTGTTAAATTATTTTTATATAAAATAATAAAACAAATAAAAAAATATAAAAAATTAAACATTATATTTAAAAAAAAATTCCCAATATATAAAAAATAAAAAAATTTCTAATCCCCTCACTATTTTCTAATACCATCTCTACCTCCTCCTTACCAATCCTCCTTCTAAGGGTATTAGCAATACCAATGGACTAATAGTCCCAACCCTTTCTCTGTAAACAAACAAGAGCTTTGGTAATATCTTGGTATTACTAGTCCTAATACCCTCTCCATAGCCCAAAACAAACGGGGCCATAGAGAAGGGAAGCCTAACCCATTAGCACACCCATTTCAGAGAAGACCCATTAAAAGCAAGAAAGAGTGCCAAAAAGCCAAGAAAAAAGGGATTTCTCTGCAGAGACCAGACAGGCAGAGAGGGATGAATGGGATGGACCCATTAAATTAAAGAGAGAGACAGAGAGAAGATCAGCCACACATGGGTAGAGAGAGAGAGAGAGCATTACTCTTTGGTGGTGCAGGGTCACTCATTTCTATTGCAGGCTTTGGAGGGCCCGTTCATACCTCACACTCTATCTCTCATCAATAAGGGACTGATTTCTCTCTCTCTCCCTCTCTCTCTCTCTCTCTCAACAATCTCAATTATATGATTCAAAGGATAATCATCACAATCAAAATATAGGGATTCTCTCTGTTGAAACTCCTGTTCATGGCAGGTCTTCTCATCAGGTCCATTTTTGCAGAGGAGAAGGAAAAGGGCTTTACTTTTTAGCTATGTTAAGGCAAACCCCAGCCAGCTAATGTGATGAGAAAGAAGAGTAAAAAGAAAGTAACAAAACTAACATACTTTTGTTCTCTGCACCTTACAACTGAGGGGTTATGGCAATTGGATGAGAGAGAGAGAGAGAGAGAGAGAGAACAATAGTGCACTATTGCACCCGCAGAGTGTGTACTTGAGAATTACCAAGCAATTTGTTTTCCAAAAAAATAAATTACAAATAAATATTAATGAGATTAGAAATATATTTTAATTAAAATTTTAAATAATTTTATTATTATACAAAAATTAATCAAAATTTTATTTTTTGTTTATTTTTTCTTGACAATAAAATATTTATGATTTTTAAAATTACAAAAAATCAATTTATATTTTAAATAATCTTAAATATATATTTGTAATTTTTTATTCCACTTCTTATATGACCAGTGGAACCACAAAATAATATTTAGAATAAAATATCAAGGGCATTTTTAAATTTATGAAAACAATAGTGATTGTTTTATTGAAAATGAAGCGATTATAACAAATTATATTTTTATGTATGAAAATTTTATGAAAAAATCTCAATATAAAAGTAATATCTATCATTATTGATATGCAAATATAATTAATCTCACTATATATATGTAAAAATTACTAGAGTTTTAGTTATATTTGTATGTGGAGTTCATTCTTCATATGTTGTTTTACTATTGATTGATAATATCATATATCAATAATGACGTGATATCACTATTATATGAATTTTTTACTTAAATTTTGTAAAAATTTGATTTATCTTACCATTATATAATTTATTTTACGACTTAAATATATGATTTTTTTACATTGTTCATGGTACACTAGTTATACGTAATACTTTTTTTTCGATTTTACTCGAACTTAATTGTAAAATTTTATGTGAAATACTTTTGTAACAATTTATTTAATTTATTGTACTTAATATTAATTTAAAAATTATTATTATCTTCTTATTATTGGTTATAAAAATAAAAATAAAAATTATAATTAATAAGTATTTCTCTTAATTTATTTTTCTGACCCCGCTTGACTAGGGGTGTAATTTTGACCAGCGGTCTGAGGTGAGCCCGGCCCGTTTAAATCCGAGCCCAAGCTCAGCCCAAGGCCTTGGACCAAGGCCTGTGCCATCGTTTTAAAATTCAGTCCGACCCATGGACCCGACCCATGACCACCCATGGTTCCGCTCAAGATCCGGCCAAACACCCGACCCGAGACGCGGCCCGCCCGAGGCGGCCTGACCTTACACAATTGCAATGGCACATGTTGGTACATGTAAAATATTGAGCGAAGTCACATCACATCATTTTTGCCACTTCTCAATCCATTGAAGTGATTAGTTTATTTGATAAGATGATTCAGTTAACCGAATTATTTATTTTTTAAAAATTGAGCGAAGTCACATCACATCATTTTGCCACTTCTCAATCCATTTGAAGTGATTAGTTTATTTGATAAGATGATTCAGTTAACCGAATTATTTATTTTTTAAAAAATAAAAAATTATTATAAAATTCATATTTATCATTTAAGGGATATTTGATAAGACGATTCAGCACTTAAAATTGAATTAATTAAGTGGTAATTAATTAAGTTTGTTTAATAATCACAATTGATGTCACTTAAAAGATTAAATACCTCTTCAAATGTAAACTAAAACTTAAGTAAATTTTAAATTATATCAAACTTATTTAATTCTGACTGAATTTATAAAAACGAAACATAAGAATTGATATATACTACTATAAATTCACTATCACCACTATCACTATCGTTACCATTACTACCACCATCATCCACGACCACCACTACCACCACCAATATGTCACTACCACTGCTACAGCTACCACCACCATCATGCCACCACTATCGCAATCACTATCACTACTACTATCACCACCATTACGCTACCACCACCATTACGACCACAACACCACCGCCACCACTATTACTATCGCTACCACTATTACTATCGCTACCACTACCAATACCAATACAGCCACCACAATATAAAAATTAATACATACAATTTGTAAATAATAAATTTTAAATTTAATCTTAGGGGAATGCACCAATAAATCTCAAATTAATAACTTATACACTGTTTAGTCCTAAAAGTTTTCTTATAGATTGAAAGGTCCCATTACAATGTTTCAAACATCAGATTAATATTTTGAACATTAGATTTCAAACATCAGATTAATATTTCGAACATTAGATTTCGAATATCAGATTAATGTTTCGAACATTAGATTGATGTGCAAATGAGACTAAATGGAGCATAAGAAAACTTTTAGGACTAAATGGTTCAACTTTTCAGAAACTAGGACTTATGGGTAAATTTTCCTTAATCTTATACATATCAAATAATTTATTTTTAATTAAACACTTAAATTTTTATTAAATAACTTTTCAATTTAAAAAATTTAATATTTAATTTTAATTTTAACAAACAGTACCTAATTATACAACTGAAAGTCTAATTTTATGAATATACAATTTGTAAATAATAAATTTTAAATTTAATCTTATACATATCAAATAATTTATTTTTAATTAAACACTTAAATTTTTATTAAATAACTTTTCAATTTAAAAATTTTAATATTTAATTTTAATTTTAACAAACAGTACCTAATTATACAACTGAAAGTCTAATTTTATGAATAATTCAAATCAGGATATTGTTAGCCTAATGAGCCCCGACAATCGGTTTGTACAGTAGTCTTAGATGGAAACCATCACTGTACAGTTTTACACTCGGAAACCAAAACTGATGATGTCATTGCTACTCTCCGTCTTTAGGAGAGAGAAGCGACGACGGTGAGGAAATGATGATGTAAGCAAACCTGGGTGGAAATATATCTAACAAATTTATTACGACAATGCTACGTAGCTCAAATTTTGTGACTCAAAAGTGGCTCAAATGGCCAAAACGACGTCGTTTTGAGTACAGAACAACATAAAAATGGCCAAAACGACGTCGTTTTGGCCATTTGAGCCACTTTTGAGCCACAAAATTTGAGTTACGAGACATTTTCCAATTTATTATTGGTGACCCTAATCGAGTTTTTTTTTTATATATAAATATTTTAAAAAATCAAGTTATTTGTTCAAGTAATTTATTCAAACAATTTAACAAATTAATGGATTTTTAAAAAAATATAAGTTTAAAATATGATTTTACCATAAAATAGCAATATGATTTCATATTGATATAATCTATTAATGTGATAGATATAAGTGATGTCATGATAAAA